ATATGTTTAATTCTAAGAATAATTTTAACATTTGTTTTCAATAAAAATGTCAGTCCTCTACACATAGAACCTCGTGATTTTTTATGTAAAATAATTAGAGAAGCAGTAATTCAACAGACTAGAATTTGCCATTGAGTTTATTAAGGCCAGTTTGATGATTTACAACCTAGAATAATAGGGGGACCTAAACATCGATAACTGCGGTTAGTCATTTAGTGCAAAATTAAAGGAAGCCGCTGGATCGGACCAAAACAACTGTCCTTGCTGTGTAACATTAGACGCTGAACAAGTCGCATGGTCGAGAAATTGTTAAATGTAGCTATCAACCGTATAGCATTATGGCAGCCTGTTATGATGACAATCAAAGCTTGATAACAAACATGTGTCATTCAAAGAAGTTAACCAATATACAGGATGTTTCAAAAAGTTATTTCATAAAATAAATCACGCATTCCGGGTACAAAAATAAATTGATTGAATCCAACTTACCTTAGTACATAAAATGTACACAAAAAAAGTTACAGCCCTTTGTAGTTACAACATAAAAATTATTTTTTTGCATTATCTTACTCTCAAGAGCCACCAACTGAATGCCATAATAGCTACAGAACGTAGACTTATACGATACTGCATGAGAAAAGATTGGTCGTATCCTTCAGCCCACATCTACATATTGGCCAACATCACGCCGATTAAGGACAGAATCCTAACCCTCAGCAGGAAGTTTGTCCTAAGAACCATAGCTGGCTTGAACAACCGAGCTAAACAAATACTAAAGACGTCTTGCATAGATAGAGGGCAAATACTCACCAGGTACCTCACCAAGAAAGTTCCATTGAAAGTTCCACCTGAACTTCCTGATGAGTATTTTGAAATTCTTGAATCCTTCCCCATCTACTATCGTAGATAAAGACTGCGCGCCACTAACGCTAATGAAGAGCCGTCCCTACTATATGGCTGGTAACCCCTGAAGTACCTTACACAGCATGCTAAGCAGATCCCACTTCTTGTGCGTTCTATCGATTCTTATCGATCACACATACAACCACCTTCTTTTTCCCTTGCTCCTTCTTAGTAGTCTGCTACTTCTTAAAAGGAGCCCATTCCTTGAAGAGGCTCAAGCCTAAACAAGGTTAAAACTTAAGGTCCTTTAGCATTATCTTCGAAACTACTTGACATTTTGTAATAAAAATAGACAGTTTACTTTCTTGTTCTGAAAGCATTTTTCATGCAAAAGAAACAACAAAATCTAAGCGCACAGAAAAGTTTTAAGAGCGGTAGAAACTTTTGAGTACTTTCAAATTAAATGAATTTTGTGGCGTCACTAGTTTAACACATTATTTTTAAAACTTTTTTGCCTTGTATCACTTTTTCGAAAAACTAGTTTTTTCCTAGTTGGCCATAAAATTCTAAAAATCATGTTGGCCATAAAATCAGTTAGTAAATCTACCGATACAATAATTACAAACAGTTCCATCAATAATAGTCAATAATTTGAAGCTATCATTTATTGTGTGAATAAGATTCATATTAAAAATTGTGATGAATGAATGGCCTACAGATTTCAGGAAATGGCAGATATGCATTACTCTTTGGGTAAGCTGGATCAGATTAAATTTTGATTTCAATAAACTATCGGGAATATCGTAGATGAATGTCTAAGAAATAGTGCAGCAGCTGCAAGGCGTTATGCAGTAAAATACCCCAATCGAAATACACCCGATAGACGATTATTTCTGGCTATTGAGCGTCGTTTACGGAAAACGGGTACATTCCAATCGCAAGTTGCTGGCAATAGTGTTTGTCCAATAATGGATGCAACTGATGAAGACATTTTAGAAATAATTGAAGAAGTTTTTAGAACAAGTACAAAAGTAATAGCTGCTGAACGAAATATTCCTTACATAAAGGTTTGAAGGCGTTTAAAGGATCAGCTGCTTAAACCATATCACTTAAGAACGATTCAAAAGTTATTGGTTGAAGAATATCCTAAAAGGATTGGATTTTGCGATTGGTTGGTAATGGAAAACATTCAAAATGTTAATTTTATTCGAAATATTTTTTTTTTTTTATTTACAATTTGCTTCAACCACAAAAGGGTTATTAGCAATGAACAGTATTGATATCAAATTACAAAGCTTATATTAAATTTGGTTAATGAGTCCTATAGTACGTAAAAAATTGAGAGTCTTAGATGAATTATTTTCACTTAAACAATCTTTAAATGTAGTTAGTAACTGTTGATGTTGTCGTTCTATAACGTAGAGGGGACAGTCTATTATTATATGTTGCACTGTTAGTTCACTATCACACACATAACACATTGGAGGGGCTTCCTTTTTTAATATAAAGTCATGGGTGATCTTCGTATGACGAAGTCGTAATCTGGACATGAGCACTTGGTCTCTTCTCTTAGTAGGATGTTTCGACGGCAATACATTTTGTTTGATTTTTCTTAATGTAGAGTTTGATTTATTCCAATTTGTTTGCCATTTTGTTATAATCTTGTTCTTAAAATATTGCTTTAGATCAGTATGAACGCAAGTAGTTATGATGTCTGTTAATGGATGCTCACTCGCATTTTTTGCTAATATGTCAGCTTTATCGTTTCCAGTTATCTCGCAATGTGAAGGTACCCAGAGGAACTGAACTAATCTTTGATTTTGTTGGCATATCAAGAGTTCCGACTTAATTAAAAGCAGGACAGGATGTTTGGGGTATATTTGCTTTAAGGCTGTTAATGCACTTAGGGAGTCGCTAATGATTATTGAGAATTTAATGTCATGTGTGTTAACAAATTTTAATGACTGGAGGATAGCAAAGAGTTCAGCTGAAAATATGGAAGTTTGGGGAGGGAGCTGGTAGGAACTGTTATAGTTATCTGTTGTGAAAGCCGCTCCTACTCCATTTGCAGATCTGGATGCATCGGTATAAATATGAATGTGATTATTAAAATAATTTAATATCTCTAATAATTTCTGATTGAAGATTTTTGCTAGTGTGACACATTTCTTGAATGCAGATAGGTTTGTATTACAATCAGGGAGAACAATTGTTCATGGTAGCATGCTTTGACTGACTTTAAAAATATTGTAAGTGGGTGGAATTATTGTGTCTAAGCTTTGCTCTAACTCGATGATAAAACGGAGGATCCAATCTTTTTCCCCTATTAAATGTCGATGGAAATCTATCTGTAAATGTGTTTTTATAAACAGGTAGCTGTGGGTTAGTTGATACTCTAGAGGCATACATGAGGCTAAGGTATTCTCTCCTAAGTTGAAGGGATGGTTCGCCTGATTCAACATACATACCTTCAACTGAGCTTGTGTAGTGTGCTCCCAGTGCAATTCTAATTGCTGAATTATGAACCGTATCTAGCACTTTTAATAGTGAACCTTTGGCTGAGTTGTAGGCAACAGCAGCATAATCTAGTTTTTCGAAATATTTTGTTTACCGATGAGACTATTTTCAGTATAAATGGAATAACAAACCATCATAACGAGAACATTTGGGCCGACGAAAATCTTGAAAATTTACAAGAGTATTTGGAAGAAGTGAATATTGCAATAAGGCAAAATATGTGGTTTCTACAAGATGGCGCTTCACCGCATTACAGTAATGAAATCCGGGAATACCTTTGCAGGCAGTATCCTGGTCGGTGAATTGGAAGGCGTCGTGACGCACCTATTTCTTGGCCACCCAGTAGTCCAGGTCTTAACCCCATGGACTTTTGCTTTTGATGGTTTATGAAAGAGAAATTGTATTCTGTAACAATAGAGGACGAACAACAATTGAGGGTTAAAATAATTGAACCTGCAAATCAATTTCGTCAGAAAAATATGATTATTCAGCGCATTCAGTTTTCCTTATTAAAACAATACCGAATGTGTATTGAAGAAAATGGGGGTCATTTTGAACATTTAGTGTAATATCATATTTATAAAGGTTACAGACTTTTTGTGTACTTGTTGATTCATTTAAGCCATTTATTTAGTTGCACGTATTTTTTTAAACTTTAGTGAAAAAGGGCCGGAACTCAACTAAAATTGATTTTCGAAAAGGTGATAAGAGGTAAAAAAAATTTAAAAATAATACGTTAATCTAATGAGGCCACAAAATTCATTTAATTTGAACGTACTCAAAAGTTTGGGGGGATTAAGGGCTGCACACCCCCCTTAAAATTTTTATGCGTTCTTAGATTTTGTTGTTTCTTTTGTTATGAAAAATGCTTTCAGAACAAGAAAGTAACGTATCCATTTTTATTACAAAATGTCAAGCAGTTTATGAGATAATGCCAAAAAAATTTTTGTTTTGTAACTTCAAAGGGCTGTAACTTTTTTGTGTACACTTTTGTACTAAGGTAAGTTGGATTCAATCAATTTATTTTTGTCCCCGGAAAGAGTGATTTAATTTATGACATACCTGTTTGAAACACCCTGTACATTTATTCGGCCGATGCTGTTATGTTGATTTATTCCTCTTTTTGTAAAATATTGACGATTTCTTTATTTGCACTTTTCTGGTGAGTTAGACTGTGAATCATATTTCAGAATTAATTATATCCCTCTTAAGAATACAGTTCCCCGGTTTCTACTTTAATATAGAGACCTTTATTTTGTGATATTTCGTCATATCAGTGTCAGTCCCGTGTGATATCTCCGTTAAATTCCAGAAAATTCATCGTAGACGTCATGTCTATGCTAAATGTGGGAGGATCCCAGATTAAAGGATAAAGCAATAAAACTAAAACCTGGCGTATGTGCGAGAGTTCGTAACGGAAAAGGAGTTTTAACCGCAGCGAAGCCACCGAAGCCGTTAAGGTGTGCTTTTAAACAGTTTAGATAAAACTTTACTTTGCGCACAGCGTAATTGAGTTTAAGAAATAGCTTCAACTTTAGTGCCGGAGTTTTACCGGTAAAATGACGCTAACTGACTTAAACGGCTGGCTTTTAGAAAACTGAGCCGCTAATGTCGTTTGCACCTCTAATAGTGCTTTGTAGATGCGAAGGTTAAAACTAATAAATGTAGCGGAAGTAGGCGGTTAGTAAAGACATGTTTGACAATATGAATTACTACTTTTACTTAAACACTAGTTTTATAATTTGTAGAAAAATGAAAAATGAGAGGAACAAACTAATAAAAAACTTAATCACGAATTTACATTCCCTCTTTTGTCTTTTGCTCGATGATATGGACACACATTAATCGTATAGTTTAGTCGTTGGTGGGAGTGCCAAAATAGAGAGAGATGGCCAGCAGGCGGCAAGTGTTAACGGTGCCATTGTTACACCGCCTTCTCTTTGGAAAACAAATGTACCACACATTTTTTTTATGATGTGAAGGTTTTAAAGGTGTAACTTTTATCGATTGGGCAATAACCCATTTCGTAAACCGGTCTTGGATGACTGTCCAAAAATGAACGTTTTTGTAGGTCTGGGGAATGGTCTCAATAAATTAATTGAGACAGTATGCCAAGACCTTTCTACAGTAGATGTTTGCATTTTTCCTGTTGGTTTGTACTGAAGGCAATTCCTATAGTGTCTTACATAGTGTTTTATTTGTTTCAACGTCTTATGCCAGTAGTATTTTTGCGATATTCGGCAAATGGTATTCGCAATTCTTAAATGGCCTGCTGCTATGCTGTTGCAATTCGGGTACAATTCCTAATTGGTTGTCATTCGGTTTCTATTTGGATTCGGTTTCTATTCGCTTCTTATTCGGTTTCTTTTCAGTTTCGGTTCCAATTCGGTTTTCATTTAGTTCTTATTTGGTTACCATTCAGATTCGCTTCCTATTCAGTTCTTATTCGGTTTCTATTCGGTTCGTATTCGATTCATATTCAGTCACTCTTCAGATTTGGTTCTTATTCGGTTACTATACAGATTGCGTTTCTGTCAGTACTCTGCGATCTTTGAAAAATCGTGACAAGCTAACACTCGAACTGATGTTTAGACAGGCGATATATTCACGACTTATCAGTCGTTGCAACAGTTACTGAGTCTGTGTCTGTCGTAGCTAAATGAAGGGGTATTTTACTTTTGCTTGGGCACCAATTTGTGATGGGTAGCACTATTAGAAAGCAGACCTAGCATATGTGGAATTTAAATTTACATTTTTTTATCCCGCAACATAACCACCTATTGAAGATTTTTGTAGAAATTATATTCACGAAATAGAGTTAGTTTTATGTATATTCTGTTTTATTTCTTAATTATCGTGACTAGTTAAAATATATAAACATATAACCTATAATTAAGATCCTGGGGTGTTAATTAATAATAAATAGTTTTGTTATAATTCCTCAGAAGAACCACGTTGTGAATTTAAAACTCGACGTTTTGGCACCCATTTTGGAGCTATTATTAAAAGGGATATGGTTCCATTCGATTTCGGAGTCTTAATCTGCCTACTCTTAATCTTGTTCTCCAGAAATACGAAAACCATCAAACGGCACTGAGGTCCCAATCTGCCTACTCCTCAGTGTTAAGTGACACCCGTTCTATAATAAAAATAAAAATAAAAATAAAAATAAAAATAAAAACATTTATTGCCCTAATAATATATACATGTCAACTTAAGATATTTTAGCCTTCTTTCTTCCTGATGTTCCGCTTTTGCACCATCTTCTTCTGATTTGATCTCCTTTCGGCATCCTGGACTTCTCTGGGTGGTTTCCTCGTCTTTTTCTGTAGGTACTTTTTATGGCATCGTACCTACTTCCCTGCTTGGCTGTTTTCCGGCAACCATCCGGCTAGACCCTGATCAGGTGGTCGATCAGTCTGTGGGTTTGTCTATGTATCCTCTGGATCCTGTTCTTCTCGAGGATATCCCTGGTCTTTTGGAGTCTTCTTGTGGCCTGGTGGAAGAAGTATCTTGTCCTGTTCTCAGCCACCTCCCTCAGTGGTGTGTACTGGAGCCTTTCTTTGATGGTTGCATTCGTGATTCTCTGTTCCCATGGTGAACCTTCGATTATCCGGTAACACGCTGTCTCTGTGGTTTCTAATTTCCTCCAGTGGGTCTCCGCTAGTGAACTCCATACTGGGACTGCATACAACATCACCGACCTCACGTAGGCCTGGTACAACTGGATTTTCTTGGCCTTCGATAGGGAGCTGGACCTGTGAACAAAAGGAAGTATCAATTTCTTAGCAATATTACCTTTTACCTTGGTTTTTTCTGCGTGAATCCTGAAATTAAGCCTTCTATCGAGGTGGACTCCTAAATATTTGACTGAATCTGCTGCCTGTATTCTGTTTCCTCCTACTGTTATCTCGTTCGGTGGTGGTCTCGTCTCTTGGGTGAACATGATGAATTGTGTCTTCTCCGCGTTGATTTTTATCTTCCATTTTTCAGTATACTCTGTGATTTTTTCTAAGTGGTTTTCCATATTTCTTATAACTCTTCTGTCATCTTTTCCGGATGCATATACCGCTGTATCGTCTGCATATAGAGCCGTGGAAGTTCTATGATCTGTAGGTAAATCTGAAACAAATATATTGTAGAGTAATGGAGATAAGATGCTGCCCTGAGGCATTCCTTCCTGGATTTCTTGTATTGTTGACATCTTTTGGTCAGCTGAAATTTGAAAGGTTCTATTAGATAGATAAGTATCACATATGTTGATTAAATAATGTGGGAGTCTAGCTCTGTCCATTTTGAAGATAAGTGCCTTTTTCCAAACCGTGTCGTATGCCTCTTCTATATCCAATATAGCTAATCCTGTTTTTTGTTTCCTGTTGAACTTAATTTTCGTATCGCTGATTATTCTTGCCAGTTGTAGTTCGCAATTTCTTCCTCTTCTAAATCCGAACTGGTCTTCTTGGATAATTCTTCTTCTATCAGCATGTTTTGTCAGTCTCTTGAAGATTATTTTTTCTAGTATTTTTCCCATCGTTTCTAGGAGAGAAATAGGCCTATAGTTTTCCGGTCTTCTTTCGTCTTTCCTGGGTTTTAGGAGGGGAATAATTTTTGCGTGTTTCCAGTTGCTTGGAAAGTGTCCTTTTTCCAAGCAAAATTTGTAGATGTAGTAGAGTTGGACAATTATCTTCTTTGGAAGTTCCTTTAGTGTGATGTTGTGGATTCCTTCATGTCCTGGGGCTCTGCTTCCTTTAAGTTTCCTGATGATTCTTCCTACTTCGTATGGGCTGGTGTAATCTTCTTCTTCTATTTGGAATTCGTTTCTTCTTTTTATTCTGTTGTATTCTTCTTCTACTTCTTGTCTTGTTCTTGCATCTGACATGTTTTGGTTTTGTCTATGCGTAGCTGCCAATCTTCTTGCTATTGCATCCACTTTTCCTTGTGTTTCGAAGTGAGTTCCTTCTTCGTCGATGATTTGTGGCATCTTTTGTTTCCCTCTTCTTTTGGCTTTCAGCATTTTCCAGACGTTTCCATGTTGTTCTTCAGCTTTCCTAATGTTGTTATGCCACTGGTTTTCAGTAAGACTCCTCAGTCTTGTTTCTCTTATTTCTTCTGATAGTACGTCTCCGTAGTCCTTGAATTCCTGTCTTCTTGTTCTTTGGAATGCTCTTCTGGCCTTATTCCTGTCCTTGATGATGTCCTGAAGTTCCGTAGAGATAATTAGTCCTGACACCCGTTCTTACACTGTGTAGCAGCTTTTATACCCTTAGCAACGGTCGCCATGTTGCCGAATGCCTTAAGCGCTAATGCGTTTAATGCCGGTAATGCGTTTTTTAATTTCGATGGTTTCACAGATAATTCTCGATTTTAAGGAGTGGATAGAAGCGATTTTTAACAACTGGCAACGTCGCATTCATATTTGAAAATATTTAAGATTTTTTTTTCTACTCTCTTACTAGTAAATTGTATATTACCTACTATTTGAATGCTAAGTAAATGCATCATAACAGATACTGACACGTAATGGCTAGCACTTAATAAAAAAAATTACGCTTCAGTTTTATAAAAATGTGTACCTAATATCACATAGGCCTCGTAAGTCAGTTGGTCGAGTTACCATGGAAACGAATCAACAGTCGTTATTTTGACAGATTAAAAATTATTAATCTGTCAGTGTAAATATAGTGGTAATTTAATTTTTATTTTTATAAACGAAAATAATCGTAGAAAAAGTATAGTACACAACTTGAGTTGTAAGCTTATTACATGCTTGTAAAATTACTGGACATACCGCTACGCGGCTCGCGCTCAACTTTTATACTCGCATGTAATAAGCTTCTTACAACTCTCGTTATATAATATACTATTTTATCTGTTGCCAAAACAACTAGAATGTTTGATAGTCGTTTGTTTTTAATGCAATAAAATGTTTCTAAAACTTACTTCTAGGAAACATTTTGCCATTTTTTGCGCTGCAGAGAGTTTATTTTCTTATATTATTTTCCGGGTCCGTGGATGCAAGGGCATGTTTTCTCATTTACGAATGATATACAGTTTAAAAGCTGTTTCCTTGTCGTGAAAGTTTTGTAGAAAGTGAGATCATTCCCGCCACTATCGATGCGTTAAGCTGTCGAAGTTACCTACAACAGTTTAAAAGTAAATCTACTCCCTCCAATTTTAAATGATCTTCATACTAAAACACCTCGTATTCTCTGCCTCCATGAGCCTCCCTATCGATTGAGCTTATGTTTGTGTTAGCCGTATTCCAGGAATATTTAGATGGCTCGAGAAAAGTAATGGATTTTCGGCGGATATATGTTCAAGTTCAGCTTCGAAATTATGCAGGGCAAGATAAACTTACCTGAATAATAGAGCCGTAGAGCGGAGCAAAAGGTTTTAAAAGTTGTTACGAAAAAATCTCTGCCTTATATAGCTTCCATACGTGTATACAAAAAAAAAGTTTTGTCGTACAAAGGAGGCACTTAAAAAGTTTTTTCAATTCAACTTGTTTGTATGTTTTTATTGTTAGAAATATGTGTTATGTCGAAACCAATAATTGTTGTCATCAGTATTGAATTGTAACTATGAGATAAATAATGTTAAGAAATATACGGAGAAATTTTTACAATTTATATCGTAAAACATGATAACTTATAAAAATTCTACTAAAAGGAAAATGCATA